TTCAGAGTGTTTCATGATCTTGGAGATTCTCCCTTATGAGGTACCTAATAATGTTTCCCATTCTTTGTTATGGTAGCATGTTTTTCTAATTATGTATGACTTTTATTTAATCAGTCCTTCTACTTTGCTAAAATTTGAAATTACTGCTGCACTGAAGAATTTATACAAATCATTTTGCACATAAACATGTATAGCTATTGAATAAATTTCATTAAGTCAGATTATGGGCTCAAAGGAAATATGAATTTTTAATTTTGATAGATATTACAAGTCATCTACCATAAGACTTGTGCCAATTTATATTCCCAAGATTAATATATTAATGTGTTTATTTTCAGAATACACAATACTCTTTTCAAATTTTATAGTTTTTGCTAATCTGACAGATGCAAGTGATATGTTTGTGGTTTTCATTTGTATCTTTACTGATGTTAAGGATGTTTTCAAATGAAAAAGGCTTTCTATACTGTGATCTGTCTGTTCTTATATTTCGAGTATTTTCTGTTGCAATGTTGATTTTTAAAACTTCGTTTCTAGAGGTAATATGCAGATAGGAAAGACAGTGTGTTCCACAACCCCCAACGATTTAGCTAAAGGTATTGCAGGCTTTATTTTGTTGTAAACAAATTTGACATTTTTCATTATGACTTTGAGATTTTCAGCCATAATTAGGAAGTCAGTCCTCGGTTATAAAGGCATTCCAACTATCTATTGTTGTGTAATAGACGATGCTAAACTTCAGGGCTTAAATCATTATTAACATCATCCCTTGCAGTTCCGTGTGTTGACTGAGCTCAGCTGAGTGGCTCTCACTTGAGTCCTGCACATGGTCACAGAAGTCAGGCAGGATTTCAGTCACGTGAAGGCCTGGCAGGACATCTACTGTGGCTGGCTCAAGGGACTGAAGCTGATGTTTACATTGGCTAGCTTAGCTGTGGCTGATGACCAGGGTTGCCACGAGGTGTCTCCACATGTGGCTTGGAAGTTTTCACAGCATTGGCCGCAGTGTTTGAAGAGTGGTAGAAGCTGTGAGATTTCTTAGGAATCAGTCTCAGAAGTCCTATGGTATCACTTCTGTCACTTTCTCTTGATTAAGTCATTAAAGTCAGCCCAGATCCTCGGGGAGGGTAACGAGACCCCATCATGATAGAAACAAGGGGAGGGGGAACTGATGGTGTCCATCTCAGCAATTCTGCACAAAGCCTCTGAACACCAAACTATGGAGCCATCCCACGTGAAACAGATATTCATCCTGCCTGATACACCACGTCTTATCCCACAACGGCGTTGGTGTGAAGTTCAGGAACTCATTCCATAAATCAAGTTGTAGATGGATGATGCTTTATTTGAAGACCTGTGGTTTAAAGAATCATATCTAACACCCAGTGGTGATTCAGGGATAGGATAATCACAGTAAATATTTCTATTAAAAAATGGGGAAATGGCAGACGCAGGTTCATAGAAACCCAGCAGTTTCGCTGGGCACAGTTTAGCAGCTCTATGGTTCGTGCCCACTCCTGCTTCCTGGAAGCAAATCTCCACTCCTAGGGATTCTTGGGAGAAATATCTGGCATATCACTTATTTCCAAAAACCCCACTAAGTTATTTTTCCTTTTCTGTGAGAAGTGGCCCATATAGATTTTCAGCCTGCTTCCCTGCCCGTGGGAAGGTAGAGGCTTTTCTGTCATTTTCCAACCTCACTGGTGTTTCTGTTATAAATGTCATGGGTTTCCTATGCCTCTTACTGAAGTTAATTCCTTTAGAAAAAAATCACATTCACAAAGCTCTTCAGGATAAGCCTTTCTCTGATTTGGGTTCAGTGTCAAGGTGCTATGGGATGATAAAATTCAGAAACCACTTCGTGTATTGTCCAGGAGCCACACAATTTAATCCTTTTGAAGTCTTAAAATAAAGGGGTCTTACCCTTGAGATGATCTTTACTTCAAGAGCCACTCCTAAACCCTGGAATTATAGGACTGATTTGGGAGGGTGGTTTCAAAGGTCTTATCCTTATTACTGGAAAGCTGAGGAAGACACATTGTTAAAGATTATCATATAGAATCATGTGTCACTTAATAACAGGACATGTCTGAGAAACTGTTAGATGATTTCATTGTTGTGGGAACATCACAGAGTGCACTCACCTAAACCTCGATGGTGTAGCCTGCTACTCACCTAGGATATATGGGATAGCCTAGTGCTCCTAGGTTACAAACCCGTATAACATGTGACTACCCTGAATATTGTAGGCAACTGTAACACAATAGCATTTGTGTATCTAAACATTGAACAGGTACAGCAAAATACAATATAAAAGATGAAAAATAATACAACTGTATAGGGCACTTTCCATGCACGGCTTTCAGGACTGGGAATTGCCCTGAGTGAGTCGGTGAGTGAATGTGAAGACCTAGGACATTACTGTAAACCCCTGTAGATTTTATAAACACTGCACATCTAGGTTATGTTAAATTTGTAAATTTTTTTCTTCATAACAGATTAAACTTAGATTATAACTTTTTTACTTTGTCTTTTTCACTTTTGACTCTTTGGTAATAACACTTAGTTTAGAACACACATTTTGTGCAACTGTACAAAAATATTTTCTCATATCCTTATTTTTTTTTTGTAAAACTGGACCACTTTAATAGTTTATTTATTTATTTATTTATTTATTTTTTATTGACTGGTAACTATGTATATTAATGCACTTCTGGGACTTTAATGTTTCATACAATTTAATAAATAGTTCTCTTAATGACTGCAGACATGTAAGGCTGTTTGGTAGCATACAGAAACATCACAGTAATGCTGGTTTTCTCAATTGTTGTGCAATCTTCAACAAGAAGTTACTTGTGTGAAATGGTTATCAAACCAGTAAGACTGCATTTATGCATCCATCACTTTCAGGATTATTGGTAACCAGGCATATTTCCCCCAAATAACCTTGCCCCCTTGTGTCACAAGGCCCAGCTCGCTCACATTGACCTCAATGACAGTCCCTTTGGTAATAACACCCAAAGTTGTATATAATGGGGATGAGGGATTCTTCTTTACACCAAGTATCGGCAGGCAAAGGTGGCTTTCAGTTCACGATGTGTTACGTGGGCCTTCTTGAAACGCAAGCCCAGTGGCCTGATGAATCTTTCATATTTAGGTGGTTTTCTTGTAAAGCCATCTCCAGCAAAGCAGACTTTAGTAACCATCCTCTTCCATGCCTCCTTCTTTCTCTTTCCTGTTGGAATAACTCTTAATACTTCTGTTTCTCCCTGGGCACAAACTTTGGGCAGAGGCACTTCCCATTTTCCCACTTTCTCTTTTCGTTTTTGTTTAATCATATTGGAGAGTCCTTTGGCTCAGGACTATCCCTCTCTGTCCAACAGATAGGCAGGTACTGCTCCCTGTGAGTCTTTTCATCATTCTTTTGTTTGGTGTTTTTCTTTTCATGCATCTTGATTGTCTTTTTCATCTGTATTTTTGCAGCATGGCGCTGTTTATGGTAGAGCTTAGCCTTCGGACCAATCATCTTCTTTGCCTTCTTTGACTGTTCATGAGTCTCCTGACTTTCTTTTTTTCTCTTTTTCTCAGGGTAATCCAAGCAATATCCATAGCGTTTACAGTGTATTTCAATATATTCATTTTGTGGCATGATGATGATCCCAGAGCTGCCTGGCGCAGCCTCTGGGGTATGAAGACGCTGTCAGTCTTCAGGTCTCACAGATCCACGAACCGATTCCCTCATATCCTTATATTATAAACCCGTTTCTAATTTTAATTTTTAAAAAACTTATTAGAATTTTTGTAAAAAGCTAAGACACAAACATATTTAACCGAGGCCTACACAGGGTCAGGATAATCAATATCACTGTCTGCCACTCCCGCATCTTGTCCCACTGGAAGGTCTATAGTGTCACTAGGTGATAGGAATTTCTCAGCCTATTATAATCTTATAGGATCACTGTGGTATACGTGGTCTGTGGTTGACCTGAACACTGTTATGCAGTGTGTGACTGTAGTTACTGGTGTAGCTGGGGTGGTTGGGTATTATCCATGTCCTTGGTGGTCTGATATGGGCATAACTGAGACCCAAGGCTCTGTTTGGTCATAGCTGAACCAAGATTGGGTGCTGAGGATGATATACTGGTAAGAGGGTCCCAAGGTGGGAGGATGAGGAACTAAAGCCTGAGAAAAGCAACACAGTAAGTCAGGGAATGATTCTACAAAGGCAACAATACAGATGTTGAGAGCTGGAAGGAGAGAAGTGGGGAAGAGCTGTCCCAGTGCCAAGGGAAGAAGGTAGCTGCAGATGAAACTGGACAAAAGTAAGCTACATTTTCTGGAAGATTCCCTCTCCTGAAATCTCTGTGTATAGTTACTAGATTCTCTCCTCAAAGGACCAGACTTTCCAATAAATATACAAATGATTTGGTTCTTATGTTTTCTAAGGAATCGAGTTGTGGTGGAGCAGTGGAGTTAAGAGTTCAAGGCATCTGCATCACTCCTCACTCCTATCTTTACAGGGGAAGGAATGAGGTGTACAGCCAAAGTTACAGGTTTTTAAAGAAACTAAGTTTATTTTAGAACAAAAGCCATGAAACATGAAGACTTAGCATGAAGAAAGTAAACTAAGTCAAATGTCCTCTGACCACTTATGGAATGCATTTTCTACTCCAATTCATGAAAGCATAAAAATTTTGACTGTTGGTCCTTGCCATCATATTCACTTTCATTTTTTTTTTTTTTTTGAGAGACTCTCACTTTCTTGCCCCTGGTAGAGTGCTATGGCACTCTTGGGCTCAAGCGATTCTCTTGCCTCAGCCTCTCAAGTAGCTAAGACTACAAGCACCTGCTACCACGTCTGGCTATATATATATTTTTAAGAGACAGGGTCTCTCTTTGGCCCAGGCTGGTCTCGAACTCCTGAGCTCAGGCAATCCACCCCCCTCAGCCTTCCAGAGAGCTAGGATTATAGCCGTGAGCCACTGCGTCTGGCCATAGTCACTTTTAAATAGAGTATAAAGGGTCAGAAGATTGTCCCAAATAGGTGTCAGGGTTGGGCTGGAGTGCCTGTCTGTGGTGGCCAGACCTTATCTTCCGGTGCCTGTTGGGATGAGACTTTTGGTGCACACCTTGCCCACATGTCATACACATGCACGACTTCTCCCCATTGTGTGTCATCTCATGTAAGGTGAGGTGTGACTTTTGGACAAAGCCTTGACCACACTCCCCCCACACACAAGGCTTCTCTTCTGAATGTACCCGCTTATGTGTGATTAAAGCTGACTTATTGCTGAAGCCTAGGCCACACTGCCTGCACACATAGGGCTTCTCTCGCAAGTGTCTCCTCTTGTGCCTAATGAGGCCTGCCTGGTGGCTGAAGCCCCGCCCACACTCCAGGCACACGTATGGCTTCTCCCCTGAGTGTGTCCTCTGGTGTGCCATGAGGTTTGACTTCTGGCTGAAGCCTCGCCCGCACTCCTCGCACACCAGGGGCTTCTCCCCTGAGTGTGTCCTCTGGTGTCTGATAAAATTGGACTGCTGGCTGAAGCCCCGCCCACAATCCTTGCACACAATGGGCTTCTTCCCTGAGTGGATGTTCTGGTGTCTGTTGAGGTGTGACTTTAGACTAAAGCCGCGCCCACACACCCCACACACATACGGCTTCTCCCCAGTGTGTGTCCGCCTGTGAGAGATGAGGGTGGAATTCTGGCTAAAGCGGTGCCCGCACACTCCGCACACGTAGGGCTTCTCCTTGGAGTGTGTCCTCTGGTGGTTGACGAGGGTTGTCCTCTGCCGAAAGCATCGCCCACACTCCTTGCAGGCATAGGGCTTCTCCCCTGAGTGTGTCCTCTGGTGGCAGATGAGATTGGACCTGTCGCTGAACCCCAGGCCACAATCACTGCACACAATGGTCTTTTCCTCCAAGTGTGTTCTCTGGTGTCTAACGACAGCTGACTTCTGGCTAAAGCCTTTGCCACACTCCCGGCACACGTAAGGCTTCTCCCCTGAGTGTGTCCGCTGGTGTATGATGAGGTTTGATTTCTGACTGAAGCCCCGCCCGCACTCACTGCACATGTAAGGCTTCTCACCCGAGTGTGTTCTCTCATGTATGATGAGTGTTGATTTCCGGTTAAAACCTCGCCCACACTCCCTGCACACAATCGGTTTCTCCCCTGAGTGTGCCTTCTGGTGCCTGGCGAGGCTTTTCTTGAGACTGAAGCCCTTTGCACACACCCCACACACATAAGGCTTCTCCCCTGAGTGTATCCTCTGGTGACTGAGCAGGTTGGTCATCTTGCTAAAGCTCAGTCCACACTCTCCACAGTTGACTGTTCCAAATCCCAAGACTTCTATCCTCTTCAACAGTTGGTCTGTTTCCTCAGGGTTTCCTGTCTGGGCTGGGCTGGCCTCTAGCTCCACTCGTCTGATGCCATTCTGAGAGCTGACTGGCTGCTGTCGGGGGGGCCTGGAGAAAGCTCCCAGAGTCCTTTTCTTTGTCCTTCCAAACAAGGGCTTGGCACCTTCTCTCTCTTGGCTTTTGGCTTTATCACTCCAGGAACTTTGATCAGAGGCTCCTTGCTGTTTCTCCTGGTCCCCTGGGCATGATTCTTCTGGCTGGGCATGACTTTCTGCACACAAGGATGCAAAGATCCAGGGGGGATGATTACATGGCACGTGCTGCCTGGGGAATTTCTGACTGGACAAATCTGGAGGGCAGAGAGGACCAAGGTGGAGCTCTGGCTTTGGTTCTGCTGTAGAAAGAAAAGTCTGAGTCAGAACTACGACCTCAGTGGGGCAGCCAGAGCAATTCTGCCTTGTGTGATGTTGATTTCCATCTCCCGTTCTTCAAAATATCTGCAACTTAAGTGCTACCCAACCAAGACTTTCTTTACATGGCCTGTTTCTAGTCCATTGCTACGTTTTACATCCTCTACAGTGATTTTCAACCAGTGCTGTGAGAGGCTCTTAGGTGCACCACAAAAAGTTTTAAAGATTATTATTTTCAAAAGTTCAATGCATACTAAGTGTGTGTATATGTGTGTGTGTGTGTGTGTGTGTGTATATATGTATATATATCTATTTTTTTTAATTCTCTTTTTTTTGAGATACAGTCTCACTATTTGCCCTGGATAGAGTGCCATGGTGTCATTGCTCACAGCAACCTCAAATTCTTGGGCTCAAGTGATTCTCTTGCCTCAGCCTGCTGAACAGCTGTGACTACAAGCGCCCACCACAACGCCCAGCTATTTTTTTAGAAATGAGGTTTTGTTCTGGCTCAGGCTGGTCTTGAAACTGTGAGCTCAGGCAATCCACTTGCCTCAGTCTCCCAAGTGCTGGGATTATAGGCATGAGCCATCCTGCTCAGCTACTCTTTTTTTTTGATCGGTATAATTTAAGTGTGCCACAGAAGTTTAACTATAGATTCAAGTGTGCCATGGGATAAAAAATTTTGGAAAACACTGCTCTATTACAATCTAGAAAATCTACTCCTGAGACTTTTTTATGCATCAAACTATAAAAGCACCATAGGTGTTTCAGGTGTGAACGGGGCAAACACAGAACAGCCCCAGTCACACTTGAACAGTTATGATCACCTAACTCATCACTGCCCATGCTAGTAACAACTATGCCCACAGATATTTCTTTTTCAGTAGCTGGTGATTTCTAATCACCAGACCTGTGTGGAAATGTCCTTGTGTTTTTCCTTACTTCCTTGTAAGCACAAAGAGAAAGGCCGAGAGAGTAGTCATCTGCAGTGGACCGAGAGGCCCCGCGCAGGAAGCAGCGTGAGGGCAGGCACAGCGAACATGCAACACAGCTGCACAGGAGTCATGACAAGTGCTTGTTAGAGGATCACTTCTGCCAGAATTTCCTCAAGACAGTAGGATAACACGCAGTGGATAACACACATAATCTAGGCCACTACTGACTTCAAAGATGCTCCTTCCTGGTGTCCCTGACCAATCTAAGTCTGCTAATTTCCATAATTAGTGTAAATAAAAATTTCCTCAGAAATCAGTGAGGAAATCCTCAGAAAGAATTTTCTACTTATAGAGGCTCTTGTGCAGGAAATGTCAACACTGGTTGTAAGGTTTCAGCACAACTGGTTCTGGTCAGCTGAAAGGAATCCACTACCAAGTGATCTGAGAAACCAGGCACAGGTCTTAGGAGAGTTAACTGAACATGCTTTACTCAACCAATGAACAATTAGGCTTATTAAACCTGTGTACATGTCTACATTCTAGTATTATTCCATCCTATATCAAGTATGCAACTTCGGAATCCTAATTATATTAGTAACTAACATAGCCACCCCTCCCTAACACTTAAAACCCTGACCCCGCCTACTAAGTGAATCCTTCCCTTTTGTGTTTTACTGACTGACCAAACAATTTTCCTTCTCCAGTACTCTGGTGGCCTGTACTTCAGGCTTTGATGACAGCCTTTCCCAGGACCCTTCCTACTCACAGGACAGGGTGATGAGCTGTCCATCTAGCCAGGTGTCCAACCTGTAGCCTGTAGGCTGCATGCGTTATTTGAGGACTATTTCGCTTATCTGTGTATCAGATATCATGAAAAGTATGCATGAAACTTTTCTTTTGCTCATTAGCTTTTGTGAGTGTTTGTGTGTCTTACTGTGTGGCTCAAAACAACTTTTTCAGATGTAAAGAAAAGCCAAAAGGTTGGATAGTCTTGAGTCTAGACCAGTGGTTCTCAACTTTCCTAATGCCATGGCCCTTGAATACAGTTCCTGTGGGTCACAACCCAGAGGTTGAGAACCACTGGCCTAGACTGTGCCATGAAAGTCACCGAAAGCTGACTGCTTTCACTGAGCTCTCATGAAGTTAATCTTGTTTAATCTAGGTCATCTGAGATTCTACAACTCAGAACTGGTTTTATATTTCTGTTTCTGGCCAGCAACTTCCCTGAGATTATGGTAACTCTGGAGTTTGGTGGAATTTTTACATTTGATTTGTTGGCTGTTTTTTACTCTTAAATATGATGGGAAAAGGGAAGCACTTGATGATAACGCCTTTGTCTCCTTTCATACACATTAGACCACAGAGACATGGTAAGTAGGTCTTTTAGCAGAAGGAACTCCTGTGTCTGCTCTGGGTTCAGCATGGTGACTGATTTTTGACACCAGAAATCCCCTCACTCCCTATGGGAACTAAGGCTTCTGATACGGAGACTTTTTACAGTCTTAACTTCTGTGTCTATATGTATAAAGTGTCAGGCTTTTGTTCCAGGGGTCCTCAAACTTTTTAAACAGGGGGCCAGTTCACTGTCCCTCAGACTGTTGGAGGGTCAGACTGCTGGCCCTGGGATGAGTCAGCTGCTAAGCAGGACAGGCAGCAGTGGCAAAAACGCCTGGCAGGCAGGATAAATGTCCTTGGCGGGCTGTATGTGGCCCGTGGGCTGTAGTTTGAGGACGCCTGATAGACTAAATATAATTTGAACTACAGTGGCTCCTTCAGAGACATTTTAAATTTATGCTTTTATTAGACTCCTCAGTCAAGTTAAATAACAGGGAGAGTTTACAATTCTTAACAATTATGGTAACTCTTGTTACTCTTTAAAAAACTAAGTAATTAATTTTTAATGACAAATAGAAATTGTATGCCTTTATTATGTGCATGTTTTAAAATATGTATGCATTATGATGTCAGTAAGATAATTAACATACGTAGTACCTCATATCTATCATTTTTTTGTGGTGAGAAGGCATAAAATCTGCTATCTTGGCAATTTAAAAGAATATGGTATGTTGTTATTAACTATAGTCACTAGGTTGTGCAATAGATCTCTTGAACATATTCCTTCTATTTGAAATTTTATATCCTTTGACCAGCATCTCCCTGACCATCCCAACCCTCAACTGGTAACCACCATTCTACTCTCTGTTTCCTGGAGTTTAACTATTTTAGATTCCACGTGTGAGACTGAGCAGTATTTGTTTAGTGGTGAGTAGTTCATCTCACTTAAATGTAATATCCTCCAGATTTATCCATATTGTTGCAAAAATCCTGTCCTTTTTTTTTTTTTTTTTTTTGAGACAGAGTCTCACTTTATTGCCCTCAGTAGAGTGCTGTGACATCATAGCTCACAGCTACCTCCAGCTCCTGGGCTTAAACGATTCTCTTGCCTCAGCCTTCCAAGTAGCTGGGACTACAGGCACCTACCACAACGCCCAGCTACTGTTTTTGCAGTTTGGAGGGGGCCGGGTTTGAACCCGCCACCCTTGGTATATGGGGCCGGTGCCCTACTCACTGAGTCATAGGCACTGCCTGCAAAAATCCTGTTAACATTCATTTACTGTATTATATAACTGTATTAGTATTTTGACCAATGAAGTAGCCAACAGAACTCTATGCTGTTTTGAGAATTCTGATATTGTCTTTTTAAAATCCAGGTCTCAAATATAGAATAATGTGACTGTTAAGATATATTTTACACCTAAAAATAACAGTCTTTTCCTCCATTATACCTACATTTTGGGTTTCTAAGATGGCTCTCTCGGCAAGACAAAGATTTATGCCTAAAATTTATATAGCATTCTTCAGGTTTTAAATTGTTTGATAATTTTATGAGAGTTACTATTTTTCCTTAAATTAAAACAAGGATTAAAAACAAAATATAAATCAAAAAGATAAATTTAAACTTAAGACAATTACAGGTAAACTGCTTGCTATCAATATAAATTTTTCAATAATTACATACTTTTCAAGTTGAGAAAAATATGTATTTGTGTAAATGTACAAAGCCCTGTGTATGTGGCATTTCCCCAGACTCCTCCTGCCAATTTAGAATGAACATTCAGATCAGATTATGCCCCTCCCTGTATCATCTCTCTCTATCCAATATTTCTTCCATATTCTTGGCTAGAGAGATCTGCTGTCCCCTAAGAGGAAGACTTTTGTGTCTCCTTCAGGGAGACAAACAGCTTTTTCCTCCGTCTGTCAAGCACATAGAGTTGGGCAAGTGCCCTCGTTTTGTAATGTGCCTTCCACACCATTCCTGGTCATGCTTCTTAGGAGCCTTCACAGGCCTCTTGATTTCACACCCTGCCTTGAAGACCTGACAGTGTGGCAAACATCCTCTTCACTCCAGTACCTGTCCACACTCTTGGGCTGTTCCACAGGGATGAGCCACTGGGTGACACTCTGGCTTCTCAGAAACACTGTCACTCCTCACCAGGCACTGACGGACACTGTCCACAGATACGGCACAATCTTCAAATCTCCTGTGCCCATTCCTTCTCTAATACAGCCTTCCATTCTACCTCTGGCTGACTTTGTTCAAGCACCACGACAACAGTTCCCTAACCATCCTTGAGGTTCCAAGGAGCTTTCTTTCTTTTGGCATCACAGCTCACAGCAACCTCAAACTCTTGGGCTCAAGTGATTCTCTTGCCTCAGCCTCCCGAGTAGCTGGGACTACAGGTGCCCACCACAATGCCCAGCTACTTTTTAGAGACAAGGTCTTGCTCTGGCTCAGGCTGGTAGTGAACTACTGAGCTCAGGCAATCCAGGTTGAGCTATACTCAACCTCCTGGAGTGCTAGGATTACAAGGCATGAGCCAACCTGCCTGGCCTCCAAGTTTTCTCCTTATACAACAATTCCTCATATCTTTACTTCTTTCTTCATATAATTGAGATGCAATGGACTTATATGCCAACTGATATGTTATGGAGCTGTCTATTCAGTTGAGAGTCTATGGAACTACCATGATGTCCTCACAAGGATACTGTTATGGACTGAACTATGTGCCTCCTAATTCTTATGTTGAAGCCATAACCCTCAATGTGACTATATTTAGAGATGGGCTTTTTAAAGAGTTAAAGGTAAGTGAGGTCGTAAGAGTGGGTTCTAATCCAGTGAGACTGGTGCCCTTTTAAGAAAAGGAAGAAATAGGCTGGGCGTGGTAGCTCACACCTGTACTCCTAGCACTCTGGGAGGCCGAGGCGGGTGGACTGCCTGAGCTCACAGGTTTGATACTAGCCTGAGCCAGAGTGAGACCCCATCTCTAAAAAAGAGCTGGGAATTGTGGCGGGCACCTACAGTCCCAGCTACTTGGGAGGCTGAGGCAAGAGAATTGCTTGAGTCCAAGAGGTTGAAGTTGCTATGAGCTGTGATGCCATAGCACTCTATTGAGGGTGACAAAGTGAGACGCTGTCTCAAAAAAAAAAAAAGAAAAGGAAGAGATGACAGGTGTGCACTGTGAGCACAGAAAAAAGGCCATGTGAGGACACAGCAAGAAGCGGGGGGTCATCGGTGATCCCAGGAGAGATGCCTCAGTGCAACCAAACCTGCTAATGCTTTGATCTTGGACTTCCAGAGTCCAGCACTGTAAGGAAAAAAGGCCAGGCAAGATGGCTCATGCTTGTAATCCCAGCACTTTGGAAGGCCAAGGTGCGAGGACTGTTTGAGGCGAAGAGTTCGAGACCAGCTTGAGTAATAGTGAGGGCAGGTTCTACAAAGAAAAACATGAACAGCCAAAGCCTCTCCTGGTTTGGCATAAAATGGTATACCAGCTACATGCTACTGCTTAAAAAGTAAAACACCCAAATCACGTTATTTTTATTTTAAAATAAAAAGATGAACAAATAGCATACCAAAAATAGAGACAAGAAAGTGGACTCAGATGATAACAATAAAGAGGAGGTTAAAGGAAAGAATATCACATAGAACAAAGGGAATTTCAATGTTAAAAACTCCATTAATAAGATAAAACTGTTACGAACTTTTATATATCTAATAACACATTACAGTGGAGCATAAGGCAAAAGCTTAGAAATCAATGGAAAATTTGACATAAAAGACAATGACTCAGAACAGCTTTATGATTCTTTCTAGTGGATAAACCATAAGAACATAGACAACTTGAAAAACAGAAATAATTTATTATATGCACTATATTCCTCAATTTTAAAACAGAATTAATTGTAAGTCTCTGTCTTCAATTTAATAAAACTGAGAGAATATTTCTTACCCAGGAAAAGAAAACATATATTTCTCTCTTGGGCACGAAACATTTATAAAATTGTCACGAGATTTTAATAATTAAAACATACATACATATAGTTCCTTAAAATTACTTATACCTCTATATTTAAAAATAACGCAAAGTAGAACAAAAAATTCTCAGCACCCATTGCCCCTGCCTGTTATTCTATCCCCACAGAGGTAGTCAGGAGATGGTAAATACCAGCAGTAGATTTCTCTGTGCACATACACATATGACATATACTCTTTCATATGCTTCTTTTTTTTAAATAAAAAACTGAACTATGTAATACACACTGTTCTTCAACTTTTTCATTTCATATATCCATTTAAGTATATGAATTTTCTTGTTAAAGTAGGTAAAGAAAAAATTACCTATAATTAATGAACAGATAGGAAATCTCATCACAAAACTGGGAAAGTATAATATAACTAAATGGAAATTACAGAACCGAAAAATATAGTATCTGATATAAAAAATTCACTGGCCAGGGCTTAACCGCATATTGGAGATGACAGATGAAACAGTAAACTTGAAGACAGATCAAAAGAAATCATCCAATCTGAAGAACAAAGAGAAAACAAGATTTAAAAATATGAAGGCTCAATAACCTGTGGGGCTATAAAGAGACTGATGTACATATAAGTGTAGTCCCAAGAGGGAGAGAGGATGGGCCACATCAAAACCTAGGAAGGAATGTCTTTAAGATAGAATCATGGCAAATCTGCTGATTACCAAAAGTAGAGAGAAAACTCTGAAAGTACCCAGCTACTTTAAAATAAGTTGAAAGCTGAGTTATGTTCAGGGGAACAAGGACGCAAATGACAGCTGACTTTTCCACCAAAGGCAATGGTGGGCATGACTGTGGTATAATATCTTTAAAGTACTGAAAAAATAAAATAATCCATCTAGAATTCTATGTTCAATGAAAATATCAAGAATAAAGAAGGTGAATAAGGACACTTGCAGGAAAATTCAAGAGAATACATTGCTACATGCACAAGAAATGCTAAGTGAAGTCCTTAAAGCTGAAGAAAAATGATAGAAACTCAGATCTTTAGGAAAAAAAATTAAGAGAAAAGAACATGGTAAGATTATCTGGACGAGTATAAAAGGACTTTTTTTTTCTCTTAATTAAAAAAATACATACAAGTGTTTAAAACAAATACTTTAACATTGTATTAAGGAGTGTGTAATATACAAATAACACTTAACCTAAATGAGGTTGGGAGAGGGGACTAACTGAAACTGTGCAACTGTGATGTATTTAGTTAATGTTCTACATAAAGGGATATCCAAATTAAGTGGCATATACAAAGTTAAGGCTACATATTGTACACCATTAGAGCAGGGGTCAGCAAACATTTTCTTAAAGATATTAATAGTAAACAGTTTAGGGTTTAGAGGCTAAGAGGCAAAATTAAGGATGTTCTACAGATACTTATATGCACATATAACCACTAAAAAACATAAAAGCTATTCTTAGCTCATATTTTAGAATTCCATTTCAATTTCTTGAATGGCTTTTTAGGCTTTCCTTTCCCTGTACTGGGCTTGACTTGTCTCTCTAGCTCACTCACTTTTCCCCCATATTCTTGCTAATCTAAACAGCAGCCTTGGAAGCAGGAGAACAGCTTCCCTCCCTAGCACTTCAGCAAAGATTCCTCCCTCCCAAGCCTCTGAGCTGCCCATAGCCCTGGGCCCCATCTGCCCAGGGTCCTCCCACTCACCTGGACAAGTGGCTGGCAGACATTTTTTCTCCTCTCTCCAGGTCTCTTTCCCTTGCTCCAACTGGGTAATGAGTTTTGGTTTAGAAAATGGAATTCCTGCTCACAGGAAAAGAAATCAAGGTGATTGTGAGTTCTATGTCCAGGGGCCATTCAAGAATTCAGAGTGAGGAACTTCAAAGGGTGGCACAGAGACCTGAGATAGAGGGCTCTGGCACGAGCACCCGGATTCACTTCACATTGAGTGGATGAACACCTCTCTCATTTAAAAGAAGTTAATTAAAGAAGAGAGCCCAGGCCTGGGGGCAAAGGCCTATAAACGCAGAGTTTCACACACATACAAATGTATCCATTTTCAACTCTATGACATCAGACCTTCACTAAGAAACAGGGATCATTTGCCTTTGAGTCAGCCTCACACAAAAGCAAAGCCAAGACACAAAGCAAGATGGCCGCATCAAGCATAGCCTAAAACTCTTAGCAGAAAGAACGTAAGTCCCACACTTACCCAGTGACAGCAGGTTGCTGTAGTTCTCCAGCATCACCTCCCTGTATAGAGTTCTCTGAGCGGGGCTCAGCAGTCTCCACTCCTCCTGGCTGAAATCCACAGCAACATCCCTGAATGCCATGTGTGCCTATAACACAAAATCCAGTCCTGCTTACCCAGGAGCCAGCCTCACCCACAACTTGGAGTGAGGGGCATGGAGAAGGCTACCCTGGAGGAGGTAGGTGAGATGTCTAGATCCTGCTGACTGTGACCGTGGTGCCCTATGTTCCAAGATCTTTATAGCCCTGCCTCCATCCAGCCAGCATTTGTGAACCTATGCACTCAAGGTTTTGGGTCGGCTGTTTGGGATATATATGTAAAAAATAGTCCCTAAGTTTTAGGAAATTTAAATCTAGGCAGAAAAGCAAACAGGTATAAAATTTAAACAACAGTAAAGCATAAGAGACTTTCTGCGTTTTAAGAATTTGAAAGATCAAATGAACTGGGCATGGTGACACATGCTTAAAATTCCAGCTACTCAGGAGGCTGAGCTCTGGAGTTTGAGGCCAGCCTGGGCAATTTTGCGATACCTCAACTCTTATTTAAGAAAAAAAAAAGACCATTATTTAGTCTAAACAATCATATACATATTAGTATGTAAGTGACTGAAGTTCATACAATTCAATAATGGCCAAGACTAAACTACAACTCAGTCCTTCTCCCAAATTCCATGGCCCCTTGACCTTCTCAGGCCCTGATGGCATGAGTGGAGAGAAGGAAAGTACTGGAACCATAGTGCCAGGGTGTGTGGTACCTCTGTGCCAACTACTATCCGAGTTTTTCTCACCTGTGAAACACGGATAACATTTCATTAAATTTCCCGTCAAACACTGTGGGTGTTCACAGTGGAACCTCTTGGCCACTCAGTCCAAAGACTCATCTCCGGACCCTGTTCTACCCCCTCACCCAGTTTTACTCTTTTATTCTCCTCAGCACTGTTTCAAAACGGACACGCTGGGATACAGATATCAGGAAACGTTTCCTAAGACAGGGCCTGGCAACTTGGTCTTGAAGAATGGGAAGGAATCAAGGTAAGAAGAAAGTGCTAGGTAACCTAGAAGCAGCACGTGGGGAGCAGGGACGAGGGCGTCCTGAGCAAAGGAAGAGAGGACCCGAAAGGTGAGCAGGGAAGGCCACCTGGGAAGAGGAAAAGGCACCCAGTGGAAAAACAGAGTTGGTGGAGTGAAGTGGCCTATAGGTTTTAATTTATACTGAGATAAAATATACGTAACAAAAAATGTACAATTTTTACCATTTGTAAGAATACATTTCAGTGACATTAAGTGCATTCACACTGTTGTGAAACCATCATCACTGTCTCTCTCCAGGATTTTTTCATCATCCCATATGAAACTCTGTGACCATTAAACAATAACTTCCTATTCTCTTCTTCCCCTACATCTTGGTAATGAACATTTCACTTTACGTAGCTATATACGTAGCTATGCTATGTAGCTAAAAAAGGTCAGATCATATCATCCTTTTATGTCTGACTTCATTTATCATAATGTCTTCATGATTCATCCGCATAAAATTATACACTCAGTTTCCCTCCTTTTCAAGGCTGAATAATCCTTTGTGTGTATATACTACATTTATCTTTTCATCTGTTGATGTATATCTGGTTTGTTTCTCACTTCTGACTAATGTGATTAATTCTTCCATGCACGTGGGTATATAAGTACTTGTTCCAGTCCCTACTTTTAATTCTTTCCGGTATATACCCAGAAGTAGAATGACTATATCAAATAATAATTTAATGTTCACTTTTGTACTCCCACTAACATAATGTTTCTAAATTTCTCCATATCCTCATCAATGTTTATTACTTTCTGGGATTTTTTTTGATAATAGCCATACTAATGGGTGTAAAGTGGCAATGCATTGTGGTCTTCATTTACATTTCCCTAATGATTGATTAGTGATGATGAGCATCTTTTCATGTGCTTATTGGCCATTTGCATATCTTCTTTGCAAAGATGACTACTCAAATTCTTAGTCCATTTTTTTTTTTTTTGAGACAGCGCCTCAAGCTGTCACCCTAGGTAGAGTGCGGTGGCATCATAGCTCACAGCAACCTCCAACTCCTGGGCTCAAGTGCATCATAGCTCACAGCAACCTCCAACTCCTGAGTAGCTGGGACTACAGGCCTGAGCCATGTTATCTGGCTCAAAAGTTGTAAATTTTGATGAAGTCCAATGTCTCTACTTTTTATTTTTTTTTGCCTGTGTTTTGGTGTCATTTCCAGGAAATCACCACCAAATCCAGTGTCATGAAGATGTTCTATGTTTTCTTCCAAGTGTTTTACGATATTCACACTTATGTTTAGGTCTTTGATCCATTTTCAGTTAATTTTTGTATATAGTGCTATTTAGGGTTCAACTTCACCCTTTTACATGTAGATATACAGTTTTACCAATAATGTTTGTTGAATATACTAGCTTTCCACACTCAACGGTGCTGATGCTCTTGTCAAAAATTCATTTGACCACATATGCAAGGATTTATTTCTGTTCTCTATTCTACTCCTTGGTCTTTATCTTTATGCCAATCACAGTTTGGATTATTGTTGCTTTGTTGTAATTTTTTTCTTTTTTTGAGACAGAGTCTCACTATATTGTCCTGGGTAGAGTGCCGTGGTGTCAGAGCTCACAGCAACCTCCAACTCTTGGGCTTAAGCAATTGTCTTGCTTCAGCCTCCCAAGTAGCTGGGACTACAGGCACCTGCCACAACACTCGGCTATTTTTTGTTGCAGTTGTCGTTGTTATTTAGCTGGCCCAGGCTGGGTTCAAACCCGCCAGCCTTGGTGCATGTGGCTAGTACCATAACCACTGTGCTAAGGGCACCAACCCCGTAGTAAATTTTGAAATGAGGAAGCGTAAGTCCTCCAGCTTTGTTATTTTTCATGATTATTGTAGGTATTTAGAGTCCCTTAAGATTCCATTTGAACTTTAGGATAAATTTTTCTATTTTTGTAATTTAAATTTCCTTCTTACTTCATTTTCTATGTATTTTATAGCCATTGTCTTTGTGGTTACAAAGGGGATTATACTTACCATCCATTAAAAAACTTCAATTTAAATTTATCATCTTACCTTCAATATATACAAAACCTTTGTTCCTATACAGCATCATTCCATCTTCAGTTATTGATGTCATAAAATTATATCTTTAGGGCGGCACCTGCGGCTCAGTGGGTAAGGCGCTGGCCCCATATACCGAGGGTGGTGGGTTCAAACCCAAACCCTGGCCAAACTGTAACAAAAAAATAGCTGGGCATTATAGCGGGCACCTGTAGTCCCAGCTACTCGGGAGGCTGAGGCAAGAGAATTGCCTAAGCCCAAGGAGTTGTAGGTTGCTGTGAGAGCTGTGACACCACAGCACTCTACCAAGGGTTAATGAGTGAAACTCTGTCTCCAAAAAAAAAAAAAAATTACATCTTTATATATAAAGATTTATTTATATGGTCAAAATAAAAAAATTTTTAATATTAAGTCATGTAGAAAACAAGAAGTGAAGTTATAAACCAAAGTTATTATAATACTAGGTTATATTGTTACCTACGTATTTACCTTTAATAGAGACCTTTATTTTTTCATGTGGCTTCTAATAACTGCGTATTGTCCCTTCATTTCATTTCAGACTATTGTTTGTATCTCTTGCAGGGCAGGTGAGTGGTAATGATCTCTGTGAACTTTTGATTATCTGAGAATGTCCTAATTTCTCCATCAGTACTGAAGGACAGTTTTGTCAGATATAAGATTCATGGTTGGCAATTTTTATCACTTTGAATATATGAATATACTGCCTTCTGGACTTCAAGATTTCTGGTGAAAAAAATCTTCTGATAATCTTATTGAGGATCCCTTAAATATAATACATTGTTTTTCTCCTGCTGCTTTCAAAATTCTCCTATCTCTGGCTTTTGATGCTTAGAGTATATCTCAGTGTGGGTCTCTTGAGTTTTTCCTACTTGTACTTTGTTGAGGTTCTTGGATGTTTATGATAGTCTTTCATCAAATTTGAGAAGTTTTTGGCCATGATTTCTTCAGATAATTTTTCTGTTCTCTTATTCTTATCTTCTGGGAATCCCACCACAATGCAGTTAATCCTCTTGCTAGTGTCCTGCAGGTCCCTTAGGCTCTGTTCACTTCTCTTCAGTCTTTTTCTCTGTGCTCCTCGGACTTGGTCATTTCAATTGTCCTATCTTCAGTTTTGCTGACACTTCTGTCTGTTCAAATCTGCTTCTGATGTATCTAATGAATTTTTCATTTTAGTTATTCTACTTTTCAGGTGCAGATTTTTTTTATTTTTAGGTTTTCTATCTCCTTATTGATATTTCCATTCTGTCCTTACATTGTTTTCTTGATTTCCTCCACATCTTCCTTTAGCTCCTTAAAATACCTCTTTAGCTACTTCAATCTTTGCTTAGTAAGTCCACTATCAGGCCTTTTTCAGGAATGTCTTCTGTTGATTTTTTCCTCCCTTCAAATGGGCTATACTTTCCCATTTCTTTGTATGCCTTGTGATTTTTGTTGAAAACTGGATATTTAAATCTTACAATGTGGTAACACTGGAAGTCAGAATCTCCCTTGTGTTTGCATTTTTGTTTTCTAAAAATTGATGTGGGGTGTTTCTATGCTAGGGACCAGCCTGAGGTGTAACGTAAGGTCTTCTCAGGTGTTTTCAGAGCCTGTGCATCCCATGAGTGTGCACAGTGACTTTCTAAATTCCCCCATCTATGCAGTTGTTTTTGAATGTCCTCGTCCTAAAATGGCTGGCTGTCAAAAGGGGGAGAAAGGGAAAAATTGAGGGGGTAGGGAAAAACAGTCTTTGACTCCTTAAAGCTCCTAAAAGCCACTTGAGCCAGTGGGAGTTGAAATAAGAGTGAATCACCTCTGTGATCGGAAACAGTTATCAGTGATTAGAATATAGATCTTCGATATTGGAGTAAAGGGTCTTGATCGTCCACCCTGTCTCCCGTAAGCCACGTGTAAGCAGCTCCAGGAGCACATGCATGACTGCTTGCCATAGGGCTGACAGGCTTGGGGATAAGTAGCTGCACTAAGAACTGAAATTAACTGTGA